GCGAGAAAATTATGCATAGTCCTTCCCAGTGCATATCGCGAAATGTCATCGTCATTTGAGGGAATTTACATTTTATGCATGTATAATAAAGTGCAGTCTCTCATGCAGTATTATAATAAATTTATATAAACTTTTTTATACCGATTGAAAATAAATATTAAACGTAAGAAACTTATCTACAAAATGTTTATAGATAAGAAACATATGTATATATTACTTATTTATAATATTTTATAATATTTTATTTTGTCGCACTCGCGAAATATAAAGACCATGATTTAATCTGTAAATTCTGTGACTTCTACTTCAATAGATCATTAAATGCATTATCAACCAAATCTCCCCATTTTCTGTGAATAATGCAGCATGTACGTGATGTGACTATAATTTACGTCATTTTCGTGCACGAAAAAATCGATCTCATAATCGAGGATAATTAATCTCACATTATATAGCGTCATTTGCCATATATGTCATTGGCACACACGTGTTTCACGAGTTGAAACGATAATCGACATGCCTGTCGCACGATAACGAACAAGTATCGCAAGCTGAAGAGAAGTCGTGTCTGAAAGATGGCTGTTTGTTGACACAGACGCACCCACACCTTAAAAAGGGCGCGTGAGAATTTCGGTCGACTTGCTATTTGAACAGTTCTCCCCGATGGAGAGACGTTAAAATGATTAAGGGTTATTTTTCAAAGCCGCATCGAATGTTACATGATATCACAGTTACAAGTATGTTGTGACTGACAACTTCCTTTCCGGCCGTAAATACATGTGTAACGTCATCACCATCATGGATGGCAGTGAAAATCATTGTTGCGTAAATTTCTTGAACGTTTATTATTGTTTGCAATTATATAATTAAAAAATTTCTCTATTATTTGTTAAATGTCACGATCAGCTGACTGCATTCGGATTTAATTAAACAATTGCTTCGTAAAGAAAATTTGCAAATCAAAGAAACTTTTTCTTTCTTTTTTAATTACAAAATATGATTCTTCTATCTCTCAATTACCAATCGATGACGTGTGAGATGCAGAATAAAATAATAAGTCGCGTGAGATATTACGACGATTACACGAAGCAATATTTGCAAAACATGCCTAGAGCAAAAATGAGTCTGACAGCCGAAGGGCTAGAAACGATTTGCCGATCCGGACGAAACGATCTGTTGCATGACTACGCCCGCTAACAATAGACCGATCGAGTTCGATATGTCGAACACCTCTCGGCTGCTATAACGAGCTCGCCGACAAAGTGCTAGCAAATGCCTCACACAATAAATGCAGAGAGCAACAAGATCGCGGCAGATGGAAGTATCAGCTGCGTCGCCAGGGGCGGTTCATAAACCAACACTTTACCCTGTAGTAAGACATTTCTAGAAACTATATTGTGTCCGCGTAATTTCGATCGCAAATACACAATTTGAATGTTTTTTTTTGTATATAGGTTTGTATTAAAACTATTATTAACAATACATTTTTATTGAATATTATATGCAATATAATTTTAGCCTGCTAGATCCTTATATTAAATTGAAAATAAAAAGAAGCTGAATTCACTTTACATCCGTGATATATCGGAAATCATATTTTAATCTCCAGCTTCAACAAGGAACTACTATATTTCCCATGGCTTCATGTATTTCCGCACATCGTGTATTTCCATCTCTCGCGAGATAACATATGAGTCGGCGCCCATACCTGAAACGGGCGGAGATCGATATTCCCCGCGAGCGCGATTTATTCTTTCCGTTTTACAAGTCAATTCAGGATCGTTCGTGGTGCATTAAATCCGCCCCTGCGCCGCGTTCTTCCCGGTAGCCATCATTTCACACGGCTCGCTTCGTGAATCCCAACGCGCCATTACGATCTGGACGCGGTGGCGAGCTGCAAGCTGCACTTAAGCTCGAGATAAGAGATCCGCCTGTCGGATGGTTTTGCCGTTAAATCGGCAGGAAGAGCACAAGACACGACAACCGCAACTGACCATCTCGTAACTTGCACCGTCCGTTGCAGCCGAGATCTCGGGGCATTTTTCATAATAACGTGTCTAGATCTCGACCAATATGACGCCGATCGTGGATTTGATCCCAAAGTAAAAGACAGAGGACGATAGTTTCGTTTGTACAATACAAGGGATTTGCAAAAGTAACATGAAAACTCAACAGAACGGATTTAAATTCTAAAAAGCTTCTTAAGGATTTAAGGATTTTCTATTTATATGTTAAACATCTATACAAAGTTTTTCAAATATTTACATTTTACCTTGATTATTTTCCATCGATATCGAAATAATTAGAGAATATAATATTTATAAATTAAAAATAATATACAATAAATTATCTTCGCATTTAAAGAGCTAGCTGTCGTTTAAGAGTTAATCTGATTATTGTTAACTAAGGGTTGTTAAAACGCGTGTTACATGTGATTCTAGATTCTCACAAGTTGTTTTTTCCATCATTTTGCTGCGACTAGGTACCGTAGCAACCGTAAAATTCGTGGATCTTGACAAGAGATGGATATCGTATTTCCTATAATACATGGGTTGGCTACATCGTTGAATTCTGCATCGCGCGTATGCACGAACTGTCTTTTGCATAAGGTTATCGCCGAAGACCTAGGATCCGGCACGAGATGTAAACTTTTCAACGAATATTTCCGAACCGCCATTGCTTTCTCGAAATTGCAAAACGCGATATCGAAAATAATAGCTTACAATAATTCTTATCATACATATTTATATTTTTTCTTTCTTTATTTCTCTCTTATCTACATAAAACTATTGATGCTAAATATGACTGAAATTATTTTATTGATTCTAACAATTGCTATTTATATCACATTATTCATATTCGTGAACACATCACTTATCAACGGTACATATATGAATAAGAAGATATTATTACACATCATAGCTAGAGATAACATTTTACCGTTCCATTGTCCGATCTTAAGATCCTAAATAAATTCAACCGCGAAATCCTCGAAGGAGGCTTCGAAGTTTCCCTCCCATCTCTTCAGAATAAACAGTTCGTCGCAACGTAAACACATCCGACTGCGCCGATGAGTGAAACCGGTTGGCAGGATTTCTGCTTTGAAATTCGTCCTGGCCGCGCGCCAGATAACTCATGCATATTCACGCAACTCGAGCGAACAGCGAGGATGGATGGCGAGAAAAAAGGATAAGGCTAGAAAGAGCGGGAGTGGGAAAGAGGGAGGAGAAGAAATAAAAAGAGGGACGCATCGATGATCAAGATCAGACCGAGTATGAAGCCGAGAGAGACCCGTGATTTCAATTTCAAATGCAAGTCCGTGAATCGCGAGCGCACAAAGGTAGACGGGGGTGGAAACGAAAGTTTCAGCCATTGTGCTCGTACATACGTACGTATGCGCATTTCTATAGGTATCCCTCCGGTATCCTCGAGGGCAGCAAGTTCTCTCGGTCGACTCCTTCGCGATGCTGCGAGTCTAGAAAATGCAATGTGATGCACACGCGATAACGGCGAATTTCCCGTGTAGATTGGGATGATAAGTTTCGGGGCGCGAGGAAAATTGGTTTGCATTTCCATTCGTGGAGTTTACGAGTCGTGTATTATGAAAGTGTTATTTTGAACGTGAGTCGGATTTTGAAGATCTTATTGCATTGCATATACGTTGATTGCATCATTTTATTATGTATAGCCATATTTTTTATTCAAATTCGTCACGTTTCAAAATTTATCTTACGCTGCTTTTAAAATAAATGAAAGAAATTGACATATCGTATATATTTTTTTACAACATACAAAAGAATTGATTAATTCTTTCAAGTAAAACTTATAATATATCTTATTTAAATTTATAGCATTTTGAAGATTTTAAATTGGATATTACAAAACTATAAAAAAGTATGACGTTTTCTATTGTGACGGAAATTCGTGAGCACAAATTCAGTAATTACTGTTCCTTTCTTTGATCATCCAATCATACGTCACGCAAAGAATAACATAAAGAACAACGTTTTATTGCGCAGACGAACTTCGATTAAACGAATTAAAAGCTTGCCTTGTATTGGACACGGTAATTCGTCGTAAACGATTACAAGATAAGCCTCGCCAATTTCGGCAGCAATATAATGGAATCTTTTAAATCGTCGGTTCCTCGTCGAATCGATATACACATACCCACACTATCACCCTTTTCCGCCAATCAGCGCTCGTTAAATTGCAAATTAATGCAGAGACGAAGCCGCCGTCGAAAAAACTGGTGCGCGTGAATTTCATTCAGCATTCATCAAAGTGCTGTCGCCGATTTACAGGCAAGTTTTCGATTACTTTATAATTGGATAATAGCTCTCATAATTGCATAAATCGACAAGATGAAAATTTTAACAAATAAAAGTTAATTGCATCACTAAAACGTTTAATAATAGTAAAGGTGTATGTGTGTGTGTGTGTGTGTGTGTGTGGTGTGTGTGTGTGGTGTGTGTGTGTGTGTGTGTGTGTGTGTGTGTGTGTGTGTGTACATATATATATATATATATATATATATATATATATATATATATATAACATATATCTAATTGTATTAAAAATTTAATGTATATATAAGTATATGTTATTATTCTTTATTCAAATATATTATTATACAATATATAAATACTGAAGATGAATATTATAAAGATAATAATATATTTTATTTAAATAATTTTATTATGAAAAAAATAAATGTAAGATAAATGAATCTATTTTGGAACAGTACTTATTTCGGATTATTTTAATTTTTCTAGTGTTAGATGTGTCGCGTAATATCGGATTTTAAAGTGGACAATATGATATATCTTAATTTTTTATAATAATAATAGTAATAATAATAATAATTGTGTATGCATCTATTCATGTACTTACTAACGCTATTTCATTTATGGTGATTTATGCTATTCTGATAAAAGACTGGATAAAAATATTCTATGGAACAGACATATATATGTATATATATATATATATAAGCGAATATCAAAATAAACTCTTTTTTGAACCTTATTTTAACACTTATAATAATAGAGTCAGTCAATTATTCTTATAGTATTAAGTACACTGTATCATTTTATCGTCCGCTCAATCTAAAATAACATAATTTCGTTTATATTATAATTATATCTAACTAAAAACCTCATCATATATGGCTAGATTCCAGAACGAAGAGTTGGCTGTTCGTAGTTTTTTGCTCGTCTTGTCGTCGCCGTCTGATTCTAGAGGCCACAAATGGCATAAACAAGCTTGGATCATGTTCAATAATGTTTCTGCGTTGAATAAGCCGTACTATAAAGCTCGCCGTGTACCCGACTACTAAAGTAATTGTCAGTCCCATAGGATTATACCATAAGTAAGAAATACGATAGAGATAGAAGTACGACGAACTGTCTGGTTCCACAGTACTGTAAAAAAAAGAGAAATATCATTCCTACTTAAATTCGTGAAAAATGAATTTATGTTATGTTAGTATGTATTATTACAGAGATTAGTTCAATTAAATGAGACCGTTCATTTTTACGCCTTTTCGCGGGCAGCTTTTCAATTTCTTGCATCGTTGAAAATAGAGCCGTCGAGTTTAAGCAAGTTTCGCCGACAAAGAGAAAGCAATAATATATCTAATCCCGCTAATAACGGCGCGTCGAGGATTCCACGGGACAACCGTAATTTCAGTTTATTAACGGTGCAATTAGCGTTATTTACCGCCGTGGGAATGTCGAATAGCGAGCTTATCGTCCATGAGAAAGCGCGGAGCGTGAAAGAAATCGGAAAGTGGCGCTTAACTCGCAGCTAATTACGGCCGCACGAAATACCCCCCTGTTCATAACAAATAACATCGATAATTCAAGAATTTTGTGTAGTCGCGATAAAACAATTTACAGCATGCCAATAATTCATATTTTAATCATCGTGCGAATTGTGCCATATGCTGTCAAATTATCCTTTCTCTCCTATCTATTTCTCCTAGTAAAATAAATGTATATTTGTTCGATTCATAGGTCCACGAGAAGCATGACAAATGACTAACAATTGTAAATAGATGTAACATTTATCCAGTGCATCTGAACGCATAATATTTTAAAATAAATAAATATGAAAGAAGAGAAGTAGATTTAAAAATCTAAATTTTTAATATCCTATTTGTGAAAAAGTACTTTGATGATATTAAATTTGAAGCTTTAAATATTTTTAATTTACATATTGAATTTGAAGCTTTAAATTTAAAAATATTTAACATATAATATTTTATGGCATACTTTTAATATTATTAAAAAAATGAAATTTAATTATTTTTAAAGCTTGGAAAATATTAATTAAACGTTGATTGTATAATTTTACAATGATCTCTGAAAATTGTATTGAGTACCTGTTGAGTTTCATCTGTTTAGCGAGTATCAACGCTGAAGAATTCGCGCAACCTTCTATCAATACAGGTAGCTCCGGGACAGGTGGTTTCGGTTGCCCGAAAGCTGTCCAAAAACAAACAATCAATGCTGTAACCATGCCAATAATTGTTCCTATCTCGTTAGCACTCTCACATAGCATTCCGAGAGTAAAGATACCCAAAATGGGTCCGCCAATAGATCCGTGAATGCTAAAGGCGACAGCAACTATCCTGCCCATTGTTTTTGCCAACAATGCTAAGAACAAGCAAATAACGCCGTTTAAAACGGTAAGAGCCTTGGCTAGGAAGGTGGCTTTTTTATCAGAGAAGTCCATCCCGAACTTTCGATGTAATGGCTTAACGTAATCTTCGAGCGCCACTGCCGCCAACGAATTCATCATAGCAGAGATCGTACTCAAGCTAGCGCTGAAAATGCCAGAAACGATAAGCCCAACCAATCCAGGTGGCAATCTCTGCGCGGTGAAAAACGGCACTATTTTGTCGTAGGTGTTAATCTTTTCGGAGGCCACAGGATCGCAGTCTCTGTAAAATGCATATAGGGCCAATCCGGTGAAACACGTTAAGAAACCCACCAATGTGATGAAAGGACCACACAGCAGCAAGGCACCCGTAGCCACCTTTACGTTTCTATAAAAATGAAGAAATAATCGTTATGAAATATGCTGAATATTCTTGCTAAATATTTTGAATAATTAAAATCTTTAGCGTAAAAGCAAATGCATTTTAATACGTTTATATTGCAAAAATATTAAATACAGACATACTTAACAGTCATTAAACGTTGGACTTGCACTTGATTCACTGCAAGAAAGGATGTATTTATCAATGCTCCGCCGATCATAATGCTCCACCACGTATACTGCACAGTTGGATCTAAACTCACGCTAAAAAAAAAGAGAAAAATTTTACTAATCTTCTTATCAATTTTATTATTTGAGAGAGAATGAGTTTATATCATAATAAATAAATATATCTTGAAATATAGTATTCTGAGAACATAATATCTCTATATATTAATTATTTCACCTGGAGAAATCAAGACGATTTCCCTCGAAAGCAATACTCCAAATACCACTGATTCCTCCATCGATGTCCATGGCAACAATTATGATGATAGTACTGAGAGCAACAATCATAAGTAAGCCTTGGAAAATATCGGTGACCAGTACTGCTTTGATACCACCTATCGTGGAATAGAAGGTACAAATTGTGGCGAGTACCAGGATGCTCATAATACTCGATAATCCTGTGGTGGCCTCGAGAGCTAACGAAGGAGCATACAGCATCACACCGGTCAATAACATCGTCTCGGTAAAATTAGCCGCGCTTACCAATAATCGTACATACAATCCAAATCGTTTCTCCAGATACTAAAAGAAAAAAAAACAGAAATTTGCAAAAGTAACTATTTTGTTTTTTGTTTTTTTAATATAAATAAAAGCACAAAAATTGCATGTGTTTTAATTATTTACATAGTAGTATTTATTTAAAGTACAAAAAACCATTTCGCAATTTGATTCAAGTGTTCAAAAAAATTTTCGATTAATTTGTGTTTGTAAATAAATTTTATATTTTTCATTTTGCTATGTCACAAAATTTGACAAAATTTTATGTGTTCGATATATATATATATATATATATATATATATATATATATATATATATATTATACAAGTTTGGGCGATATGACATAATATATAATAGTCAAAACTAATAATCAGAGCGATTATTTAACAACAATTACCTCGTAGATGCTTACAACCTTTATCTCGAAGAAGACTGGTAAATAGCAGAAGGCTATGATCGGCACGATGAAAATGCCGCTGCAATACATTAATGAGACGAACATGCCGCGGATGTAAGTTTCTCCACTCATTCCGAGCATGCTAATCGCCGATATATGGGAGGCCATCATGGCAATTGAGAGAGGAACAACTCCCATCGAATTGTTCGCGCTAAAGTATTCCTATCAATTGTAATTATGCGATTAAAATTCGTATACAAGAGATCCTTTATTTCTAATACATTTCTACAAAATCTTTCTGTGTCATTACCGCGAGTATAATTAATTAACATTTGATATTATTTTAAGAAAAGATTTCTAAGAAAAGATTTTTGAATCATTGATAATATCATTCAATTAATTACCAAAAGGCTAAAACACAATATATGTTTAACCTTCTAAAATATTTACGTTATTTTTAATTAAACATTTTTAATTAATTAAAACAGCATCTTAAATAAATTTTTAATAAAATTATGAAAGGTGTGTTTGGTTATTTAAAAAAAAACATAACAGTTGACAATATACTGAACACTTTGTTTCTTAAGAATAGAAGAAAAATAGAATAATATAATATGCAATTTTATAATTACAATATAAATTTCGTAAAATAATCTATTTTCTCGATATTTATGTGTTATCGATTAAATTTGAATTAATGTGTTAAATTATAGTACAATGTTAGTGAATTGAGAATTTGGAAATAAATTTCGCCAGAATTTAATTTATTAGAAATTACAGTTACCTTTACGTAAATGATAATATTTATCGCGAAATGATATCAATTACATAATATGATTTACGAATTAGCGAGATCGCTTCAGTTAAAGCCGAATCGATTCACCATGTAAAAGTTTATTTTTTAGAAACTGACCGCTGCCGTACGTTGTCGACCACCGCTGAATCGATAGTAAATCCCTATGATGACGGAAGTTAACATGATTGCGCTAATCACGAGATAATCCTGCCATTGCAATCTGTGGGTCTCGCCCTCGATAATTGATGTCTATAAGCAAATTCCTCTTTATTATGATTTATTGGAAATTGGTGGTAGAAATTTTAGATAGAATTTTCAAATAATTTAGTATTAAAACATATTTAGTCATAGTACACTGATATAATTTATAAAACTGAAATATGTGACGTTAAATTATTTTCTTAAATGTTTCAAAATTTATAAAGCAATAATAATATAATGACTGTTTATTATTAGATTATTTGTATTAGATTATTTATACATAATCCAATGCCTATATATTATATATTATATATATATATATATATATATTAGTACTTACGTTCATTTTATAAAATTTACACCTACACTCTTCACTTGAAAGGCAAAAAATTTAACTTCAATTTTAATCCAATAAATAAATTAAATTTTGGCAAAAATTTTTTAATATATAAAAAATTTAAATCATTTTTGTACACTTTTGAAAACACAGAAAACGAAGATCCATGCACGATTGTTCGACAAGCTTCCACTAACGAATATATCCATTCCATCGACATGCAAAACACAGGAAAAGAAACACTATATTACGTAAAGAATTGCTCGGCATTTTTAGTTCTACAACACGCGATGAAATTTTCATCAGTAAATTATATATAATAATATACTATTTAATACTAATGAATAGTTAAAAGAAAAATTTATCTACGTAAATATCGCAAATCTTAGCAGAGATAAATTTACAATAAGAATTATTTAAAAGTATTCATACATATATTATAAATATTGATATTATATAATAAATATTTATATAATAATAATATTGATATTACATAATATTGATATTATATAATACAAAAAAGAAATTATTTTTTGATATTTAAAATTTTTAATAAATTTGGATCAGCAATTTTTTTATAAATATTAAACAATGATAAGCGGCTATAATATGACTAAAGTATATAGATATATCAGTTAAAGTACATTAGACTTGAGGGAAGATTAGATTGCGATTATCGGATAAGGCTTAGCTTTAATTTAATATGAGCGTTCGAAATGATTATCTTTACACGTCAATCGTTCCAAAGGATCGATTCATTTAACGGCAATGAAAATAAAAAGTATAACAAATAAAGATTATTCTAAAGATGTATTGATATTAACACATTAATTAAATAATAAATATATAATTACATAATTTTAAAATTGTCTTTATTATTATTATTATATTGCGCAGTATTTATATTTCTAACATTAGTATTTTCACACATTAATCTTAGTCATTCATTCAGATTCTTGCATAGATTAATAACAGGTTTTCCACATACATCTTTTGAACTTGAAAGGTAATAAATTTTAGTTGATTGTAAAAATAAGGAAACAAAAAATAGCATATAATGATATTATGATAATATAAGAAATAATAGAAAAATAATAAACAAGTGAAGACACAAAAATAGCAATCGAGATGTTTTTTATTATTGGATAATAATTATCTGTAGAGTAATGATTTTCAACTGTAATTTCAATATTTTCTGATATAAAGAAACATTAAAGTAATTTCTATTGTGTTATTATTCCAAAAAGAAACAATCAGTATTATAAAAAATAATATTGAAGCGATTTTGCTCAAAAATTTTAGAAATTCAATGTATGATTAAATAATTAAATGTGTTCTATTCTTAAATAATTAAATGTCTTCATAAAAATATCTATGCTAGAAACAAATGATTAAATTTGTTAATACGCTAAAGTCTCTCTTTCAATGTTATACGTTGCAGATTCTGTTTTTAATTAAAATTGATTTATTTAAAACGCGAGAGAAAAAGGAAAAAAGAACTTCTTTCAGAAGTTTTAACAGAAAAGAAACATAACAGGTCTATTATCTTGTCATATGTATATTTTAACACGTTTTTGCCTGAATATTCTACTTCTTCTGATATAACTAGTTGATGTGCCACAATAAAGGTTAATGACGACCCCGTTTAATGGCGACTAATTTCCGACATTGTTACTGGTCCGTCGACCGCGTTGTTTTACGCGAATAGCATTGCCAATGAAAGAGAGAGAAGAATCAAAGAGGAACGGAAAGAGAAAGAGAAAGAGAGAGAGAGAGAGAGAGGCCAGAGAGAATGGGGGAGAAAAAGAGGAACTCGTAAGTGGTGAATTCCCGTCATTAAGTCGTTAGCCGGACGACAGCAGACTAACTGTCGACTAACTGACTGCTGAACTTGATCGACCAATCATTGACCCCCACGGTCAATCGAAATTTACTGTGTGTTAACCACTTTCGTTCCACATAATTCGTCGATATTATCCGGATGCGTAGGCTGCTTTTGGTAATTTGACGAGGGAAAATATATATATATCGGTCGTGAAGCAGCTGTATGCTTCAATTTGCAGATAATGCGGAAGTTAATATAAATTTTAGTCAAAGCAATGTTTTCCCGATTATAATCTTTAATAATCTTTTTGTTTTATAATTACAGATATTTACAAAGAAATATCTTATTTTCGCAATACATAAGAAATCCCATTAGATATCATTTTCTTAAATAAGATTAATTTTACATAATAAAAAGTAAATCTTGATTTAATATTATTTAATAAAAATGTAGTTGTTTATATCTTGTCTCTTTTATTATACAAATAAATAATCGTAATGCAATAATTAATCGAGCTCGTTATACACATATACGTATGTAATTTTGAGTTCTCTAAAGCATTTGATATCCTTTTCAACATTCGCCATGTTATAGGTAGATATTAACATCACCATTTCAATGAAGGTATTAATTAATCTAACGCACTAGCATGCGAAGCTTCACAATATTCTGCAGTCTATGCAAGAGAGACTGCATAAAGCCAGAATTTCTCTTTCAATGAGCACAAAAGCAAAATACTTTTAATCGATATTAAATAAATCCAATAATACTGTAGGAATTTACTTTTAATTTTCGACAAACTGAAATAAATTGAGTTTCGGTATTTCTCCTGCATTCGCGAAACAGAAAATTCTTGTACACGAGCACGTTATTTTTTAATTAAGCTTACACCATTATAAACATTTATATTATAAATATTATTGTCATTATGTACTATATACATGTAATAAATATCATTTACTACAGTTACTGGCATAGATATCGGAAATAATTATTACATGATTCATGCGATAATGGTCGATCTGATAATGATTGCGTGCGAACGGGCTAATCCCCCCATAATTAATTAATAACGAGGTGACTGTCTCATAATTGTGGTATTTGAGTCAATTCGTGCATGATGCTACGCTCCGTCTCCGATTTCATACTTTTAATTAATCCAATGTATTCAATAGAGAGAAAATATAACATTTAATTTGAAATCAAGAGTTAATTACAAATATCGCTATCCATTATATTTATATCGAATGTGTATATATAATAAATATATAAAATATATTTTTTGGATATGATAAAATGTAAAATAAATTTTTGATGATATATAATTGTCGTTAAAAATAATTTTCAAATCGCAAGATCTTTTCCTTGTCGAGAAATTCGCTGAGACAAGACGCTATATCTTTCATTTGTTATGACAGTTGACATAATTAGACTTACCGTGCCGTAAAGTGCAAATTGTGATTCAGAATCACGTGATCTTACTTGCAATATCTTTTTCATCTCTGTCTACCAACGAAGCGTTTCTGCTTACATACGACTGCTTATTCAATCATCTGTGCTCATCAAGTGTCAAATTACTGCTAGCCATTCTTGAATTTAATCTTTACATATCTTTTTGAATCATGCAAATTGCAAATTTTAAAAAACTTATTATCGTCACGTTTTGAATTGTTTCTTATATAAATATTTATATCTTATCGCATTTAAGGATCCATTTCATTTATTAAATATCAATGCGTTAGAAAAAATAATTTATAAATTCTTTCTCTTAAATCTTCGATAAATTAATGCGCATAATATCACACAAACGCATATCTATCTGATTCAGAGAATACAAGCTATTTTCCTGAAAATGGTTTCAAAGAGAATTGCGAAAGTATCTAATGACTCGTGTTAAAAACGCGTGTTTTGACTTACGTAAAAAGATGTTGAATTATAACTTAGTTTCTCACGCATGCATAAAATGCATGCAGCCATGATATTGTATTCATTTTGCTAAGGTTGTGAAATGGTCTTATGCGATCAAATCGCTTTCAGAATACTTTGAGTGATACTGTAGTGATATTCTTTATCAAATGAAAAAAAAATAGAAATTATGTATATATAAATATTCTATATATAAATATTTTATACATTATATTTTTTAACATATGAGAATTTATTTTCAATGATATCTCAGTGCTGTTATCTTTCTCTAATATGCGTGATATATTTGTAAATAATATTAAATCGCATCTCAAGATTAAAAAAATGAACCGTTATACTTTTCTCATATTAATGTAATATGGCTGGGAAAATATCGTAAATTAAACCGCCCTAAAAATATTAAAAGCAATCATTATTCTTCATCAAGTCGCGTAAGTGTCAATTGATTTCCTCTATAATAGTTCGTCATAATTTAAAGATGCGGGTATCGCTATGAATTCTAGGACTGACAAAAAATTTATGGTATTTTTCAATGCGGCATATTGCACGTTATCAAAGCTGCCTATTAAATTAATTTAAAAAATTGTGTGTTTTCCCAGTAGAAACAAAGAAATTACTTCGCAAGATCGTCTTTACTAAGCAACGCACGTGTCATCGAGCAGCAATTTGTGGTGGAAAGTGAAATATGACAAAACCGCATATTAAAATACCTGCACGCATCGCGACTCTAGTTAAAACGACTAACGAAGTGTGACAATTTTTCGATAGTTTGTGCCGGAATGCGCCAATCTATCTCGACGCATAATTTAGTGAATATTCGAATTTGATAAATCGCTTACGCAAATCTGCATGTTATACACTTTGATGTTCTTTGATAACTTTAAATTAACCGACATCGTTAATACTATATTAAAATCAGTAAAATTATTAATTTTTGGAACTAAGGAAGAGGTGCAAATTATTAATAAAATATTCTCGTATTCTTAGATGTATCTTTTATATACGATATGTGTTATTTAACTTCATATTTTAATAATAGTGTCAATTCAATTAATGACTACAAAAATGATTAAACTGAATTTTATTATTATAAAATATTATTACATATATACATATACAGATTGCCACATTAAAAATATAATGAAAGATATACTATGTGCATGCAGTTTTTAATACATAGTATTCAAAAAGATCAAAATGATATATGAGACACTTGAATATGTCTTTACCGCAGTTATGCGTATTGCGACAGGAAATATTCAAATTTGCAGTGCACCTGCACATACATATATGTATACAGTTTCCGACAACTACACCATCGTCAC